ATATATATATATTCCATGCCCAGTGTGAGCTCACACGGGTGACACAAAGATCACCAAGACAGCCCCAGCTCTGCCATCAGTCAAGGGGATAGGGAGTCAGACAGTAATTAAAAAATCTCTTTAGCTAGGCATGGTGGCTCACACCTGCAATCCTGGTACTTAGGATGCTGAGGCAGGAGGATCATGAGTTTGAGGTCAACCAGGGCTACATTGAGAACTCTATCTCAAAACAGACGGAGGTGGGTGGAGGGGCAGGACACTGTGGCATAAGGCAAGGCTAGGCTGTTCTGGAAGGTTTAGGGATGGTTCTGTGAGGGGCTGGCTGCACCAGTCTGTGTGGCCCGTTGATGGTCCTGTGGCCCTCTGTCTGTCCTAGTCTGTCTGTCTCCACATGGTCAGAGGAGCCCTGTTCACACCCAAGTCGGGTCAAACCCCTTGGGGGCTTTTCTTTGTATTTACCAAATACTTTGGTACATGCTGGGTGCTATTTTGGCTGTGAACAAATCACACAAAATTCCTTCGCTTGTGGAGTGCAAAGCCCAGGAGGGGAGACAGATAATGAACAGGACAAATAACTGAAATGTGTTCTGTGTCACAGCAGACGGGGCCGTGGAGACAGGCAAGGCTGACAGAAGGAAGGGGGTGCTGGTGTGTGGGGGTGACGCTGCACTTTACCATAAGTGGGCAGGAAAGGACAGCTTCACAGGCAGGTGCCACATGAGTAATGAGGAAAGAAAAGAGGGAGGTGAGAAAGAGATGCAGAGATCTGAGAGGGGACCTCGAAGTAGGCCAGAGGAACAGAAGAATGAGAGATGGGCGATCTGAAGGCTGGGGCTGGAAGGGAGTGAGGGAGGCAGGGGCCAGACCCAGCGCCGGGGACCCAGGCTTAGGACTTGGCTTGTAGCTGGACTGCAGTGCAGCTGGGCCAGGGCTCAGAGCTGGGGGACATTGACCTGATTCAGGGGTGCACAGGCCCTTTTTGACTGTGCGTTGGGGCAAACAGGGTAGGAGGAAAGCTGAAGACTGACCTCCAGGGCACGAGGTGGAGTGGGGGCATCAGGGGGCAGCACAGGGAAAAGAGCTGGGTTCTGCGTAGTAAGGGAGAGTTAGGCCCAGTGGCATAAGCCTGCCATCTCTGAGGCAGGAGGATTAAAATTCCAAGGCCTGCCTGGGAGCCCAGTGAGGGGCTGGGGTGTGGCTCAGTGGTAGAACATCTGCCTAGAATCCTCCAGTGAGGGGCTGGGGTGTGGCTCAGTGGTAGAGCACCTGCCTAGAATCCCCCAGTGAGGGGCTGGGGTGTGGCTCAGTGGTAGAGGACCTGCCTAGAATCCCCCAGTGAGGGGCTGGGGGGGGGCCCAGTGGTAGGGGAAATGGCTACAATCCCCCAGTGAGGGACTAGGGGTGTGGCTCAGTGCTCGAAGA